TTTAGTGTCAAAGTAGATTTTACTCTATCACCAGCTGTTCAGCATGCATATGACAATTTTTTAATGCTATGCTTAGTATTTTAATTGCCACCTTCCTGGAGTGAAGTATGGAGGTGTTAGAGCTGAGAAAGGCAGGCGGTGGGCTCTGGAGCTAGGCAGTTCTGATTCCGGATTTCTTACCAAATCAGTTAACCCAAGTTTCCTCACTTGTAAAGTATGGCCAGTTACATCTGAACTTCAGAAAGCCAGCAGGGCCAGGTAAATGAACAAGCATCACACTGAGTATTAGGTAGAATATCTGCATCATTTGAGCTCATCCGTTAATGGCAGCTCTTACTGGGATTACATTTGTGGTCAGGATTAAGAATCCAAGCTTTACTCCTCGTTGGTGACATTTTCACTCTTTATGGAAGCCTTGACTTACAGTCTAGTCTATAATTTTTTAGTGAATGCGAATGCAATTTTTTTTCAGATGATACTTAGATTTTTCCCAACCGTCCACCTAGTAATCATTTATAAAATATATCAAGTATAGTCCCAAATACTAGGGATATAAGATGAATAAAACATGCTGTCTTTCCAGGAATACACTGGCTAAACAGATGGTCGGAAAGACTGAGATTTTCATTCTTTATAGAACAGTCTTCAGCTGCTTCGTGGTTGTATGGGCAGCAGAAAGGGGTACACTTATCTTCCCCTGGCACTAACTTGATGAGTAGTCAGAAATCCCCTCTGTCCCCTATCAGAATTCTATCAAATAAATAAAAAAAATCAAAATGGAAATTGTGGGGCTGGGGACTTATGTCAGTGGTTCCGCCACCTGCCTCGCAAGCACAAGGACCTGAGTTTGGTCCCTGGTACCACAAAAAAAACAAAAAGGAAATTCTGGGTCATTCTGACCACACAGTTCATGCTATTTGAGAAGGCTCAGGGTCCACGTTGCCACCAAACCTTTGCTTCCTGCCAGACAGCCCTCGAACTCCCAGAAGCTGCTGGAGTAGAACTTTGGTCACTGCTCACCACTAACCCATTTTAAACTTAGTTTCTGTCTTTTCAGTGCATTTCCCTTTGCTTTCCTTATAAGACCAAAAAACAACTGAATACTGATAACTTAGTACTATCTCTCAGTGTGTTTTGGTTCCCTTGCTTCTATTCTAGAACAGGTTTCAGCTCAGTGCCCTCCCATTGGGGTCCCAATCCAGCACCATCTGGGCTCCAATCCTGCCTGTCCTGTATCTTTCAACAAAATCAGCACTTTCGTGGGAGTGTATTTGGCTTACACTCTGGTCTCATTTGAAAATAAGAAAGTATTACTATACCTATATTTCACTAATATAAAAGATGTAATTCCTCTTTTAAACACTCCCAAGATACCTTTCTGTTCCAATAAGTAGTAACTCTTGGACAAAACTTTGGTCTTTCTTCAGTAAATTTTAAAGATGAAGTTGTTTTATTGTCTACAATCATGTCTTTCTAATATATTGCTCAAACATCTCATCTCTGTAATCTTACATCACACTCATTGCTCCATCATTTAGCTAACTCATAATGTCTAATCAGAACCCAGCACACAGCACATGGAGATCTGAGGCAATTATCTGCATGACTTAGGCCTGAAGCTCCTTTTCTTAGAAAATGTACAGGATTTGAAGGCCTGTGTATACGTGCCAGCCTTGTCACTTAATGCGTCCTTGATAACTGGCAGGTCACATGACCTGTCTGGGCCTTCATTTTATCTTCTGTAAGATAAGAATCTTTGGGGCAGGAGATTTAGCTCAGTGGTGGTGCCGCCTACCTTGCAAGCACAAGGTCCCCAGTTCAAGCCCCAGTACCAAAAAAAAAAAGTCTTTGGCACAGTGTTCAGGTCATCAGCCGTGCAACACACCACCCCAAAACCTAGAGACCTAAAGCAACTATTTATTTTGCTCCTATGGTAGTGAGGAAGAGATCTGGGGACAGCTCAGCTCAGGGTTTGCTTCTGGCATCATGTGAGATCGAGGGCCAGGGAACACACTTTCAGTGGGCTTTGCAGGAACGTGTCCACCTCTTGCTCCTGGGTCCCTATCTAAGGCATCTCCATCCCGAAGGCCTTGCCATGCACCTGAGGCCCCTCAGCGTGGGCTCCTGAGAGTGGACACATGCTCTTCCATGGCAGTGAGCTTCCAAGATCCAGATGTCACCAGGCCAGGAGAAGATTAGGCCTCATCCTGACAGTGTCTCCTCTGCTGCGTTTTGTCACTTAGAGCTGTTCCAAAACTCAAGGATTAAAAGGGCCACCTCTTGCTGAGGGAATGGCAAAGTCACACTGCAGATGAGCATGAGATTTGAGCATTGATGATTAACTGGTTGGGGGGATAGGTCAGTGTGTATATGGTCATGAAAGAATTATAAATTTTATTAATATAAAGGGTAGCACAATTTACAGTTGTACTGTTTTGTAAATCCCATCTCGCAGTTGATTGAATCAGAGTGCTTTCACAGCTTTTTGCCAAACTCTTAGATCATTTGCCAACCTATGATTTCAAATAAAGAGCCAGGAGCTGGGCGTGGTGGCTCACGCCTGTCTCCCAGTACTCAGGAGGCTGAGGCAGGAGGATCGCTGTGAGTTCGAGACCAGCCTGGGCTATATAGTGAGTTCCAGCTCAGTCTCAACTACATAGTGAGACCCTGTCTCAAAAAAACAAACAAACAAACAAAAAAGAGCCAGGGATTCTTCTCAGTGGTTCCACCGTCTGCCTCACAAGTACAAGGGCCCGAGTTCAATTTCCGGTAGTTAAAAAATAAAATCAAATACTTTGTCTTATTTATATTTATCTCCTTTGGTGATATGTTCTCCATAAATAAAAATGAAATAATTATTAGCCACAGTCACAGCTCAAAATACTTTGTTTTTCAAAAGCCTCATCATAGCTGGGCATGGCTGTGTGTGTCTGAAATTCCAGTACTGTGGTAGGATGAGTTGGGGGCATCTCCATTTCTAGCCCATCCTGAACAACTTAGTAACTTAGTGAGATCCTGTCTCAAAATAAAAAGGGCTGGGGAACTGAGATGTAGTTCAGTGTGAAGGCCCTGGGTTCACTTCCAGGTGCCACACACACACACACACACACACACACACACACACACATTTTATTGGTGACATTATACAAAGCACTTTCAAATATGCCTTTAACTAATACTCATAATATTTTGAGGAATTCTCATCCTCATTTTCTCGATTGGTTATAGTCAGCTTTCTGTCACAGTAACCAAATAACCGAAAGCCATTAACTTATAAAGACAGAGTTTATTTTGGCTGATGGTTCTGGAGGTTCCAGTGTGAGATCGAGTGACCCCTAACTGTGACCTCCAGTGGGCCATCAGGCAGCAGAGGTGGGAGTGTGACCACATACAACATGAGCCGGAAAAGCAAAGCACAGGCCAGGGTCCTCAGCCCCTTTGGGGACAGTGCTTTTAGGGACCTAAGAACCTCCCAAAAGACCCCGTTTTCTCAAGCTCCACATCTCTCCCAATAGTACCACCCTAGAGAATGAGCCTTTAATACCCAGCTCTCTAAGGAACAGGGATCTTAACCAGTGCAATGGAAAACTGATGTTCTGGGGGTCACACTTCCGCCGAGGGCACAGCCAAGGCGAGAATCCACTTGGTGTGACTTGTGAGAGTGACAAGCTATACAACTGTGTCACGAGGAGGCCAGGCTCACAAATACTGCTCTGCGTGCTTAGCTCTTCCAAAAGCCAGCAGGGAGGGTCATTGGCTGAGTCCCCAGTGCCTGTGCCTCACAGAATGGAGGCAGATGACAGGAGAGAGCCACAGACAGACCTCAGGGGCTTTCTTCTACCTTTTCCCTTTTCTAAAATTCATTGTTTCCCAACCACAGAATAGTTTCTCTTAGCTCTTCAGGAAGCTTTCTCTAGAGTTTACATTGTCATTCCTTGTTTAGGCTGAAGAGTCCATCTTGCAGAGTTGGGTTTTGTTTTTGTTTTTGTTTTGTTTCCTCTTGAGCAAAACATTCTTTATAGGAAAAGTAGGAAGTAAAATAAACAAAAAATTGAAGCCAAAAGCCATGCATGACCCAGCCTCTCTTTGTTAACAGATAGGTTAACATTTCAATCAGTGTCTCAGCTTTTCAGTCTGAATAACATAAGCATCTCTGTTACCAAAATTTACATAGCACTGCTTATGTGTTCTTTAAATAGTATTGCATCCTATTTTGATATATTTTTTTTTTAGTTGCTTCAAGTGCTGGGCTGAAGTTTTAAGTTGTTTGTCTAAAGTTTCAATATTAAATGAATAAATAGCAACTGCCTTCCCAGCAGCTCTGTGCCAGCTAGTCAAAGCTGACTTTTGGGTGGTACTAGATTCAGAGCTTCCATAGGAACATGATACTGTTTCTCAGAAAAACCTCTTGCCTTGTACTTTCTTGTGCTTGTAAGAAGGGGACATTGTTTGTGACTCACAGACCAAGCCCAAGGATGGGTCTGACCAAGGCACCCTCCTCTCAGACTCTTGAAGGAAGACTGTCCTGGTTTCTGTTTAGCTTTTCACACTGAATCTCCTTCATCCAAAACACTTGGCATCACAAGTGTTTCTGATTGTGGATTCTTTTCAGATTTCAGATTCTTTGCAATACATGGTGAGCTGTCTTGGGGATGGAGCCCAAGTCTAAACAAGAAATTCATTTATGTTTTGTATTTGCTGTATGCACATATCCTGAAGGTCATTTTTATATAAGAGTTTTAATGCACCTGCAGTGGAGTCTTCCACTTGTGGTATCGTGTGGTTTCAGATTTCGTAGCATTCTCCTTTCAGATTTTCAGATTAGGGATACATAATCTGAATGACATAATATTCATTATACCTTCACCCAGTAGAAATTAGGAATCCCTTTCTCTCTCCTAGATATTTCTTAAAAGAATGTCTGCTTCATTGATGCTGGGTAGACTGTGACCTAAATAATGATTCCTACTTATACTTATCTATTTGTTTTTCCTGTTTAGGCAGCAATAAGGAAAGAACTAAATGAATTTAAAAGCACAGAAATGGAAGTTCATGAAGAGAGTCGACAATTTACAAGGTAAGTAGTTTAGCATATTGAAAATGCTTATCATGTTAAATCTTGTCTAGGTCTATTTTAACATAATTAAAAAATTTTTTCAGTGTAATACAGCCATCAAATGGACATTTCTGCTTTTCCCACATTCACCTTTGTTTCCTTTTATTGGTAACCTAATGGTCAATGTCTCAGCTTTAAATGTGACTAGAGCACATTGTAAACTTCTAAAATTTCATGATAAACAGCTATCTTTTTTAGGAACACTGTGGCTAATCATGCATAACAAGAATTTCTAAAATTAAATCTTTTTTTTCTTTCCATGAAGTCTGAACCACTTTTAAGGACTGCATTTTGGCTCTCTTTTTAGTTTTATTTTCTGGGCCAGAAGGCAAGTGTCAACGTCTCTTATTCTGCTTTGGAACCGACTCTTGGAAGCTCTGTGCCCGAAGCAGACGCTGGTGACTGTCAGTGTGGGCACACATGTGTTGCTTTGGGCTCACAGTAGACATAACTTAGGATGGCAACTGAAATTTTAGAAGATACAGCTTAGAATGAGAATCCAATTTGCATCGATACTGCAGATACCTGCTGTGTTAGTCAGCTTGTCCATCGCAGCAACAGAAAGCTGAGATAACCGACTTTGGTTCACAGTTCCTGAGGTTTTCGTCCATGGTCAGTTGGGTCTGTTGTTTTGGGGCCTGTGACAAGGCTACTCATCGTGGCAGTGGAGAGCGGCAAAACCACCCACCTCATCCCAGGGAGCAAGAGAGACAGGGAGAGACCAGCGTTCCATAACCCCTTCAGTGTTATCCCCAGTGACTGAAAAACCCACTGGGCACCTCCTTAAAGCGTCCATGCTCCAATGGGGCACTTGGGGACACTTAGGATCCAGACTCCACCAACTATAATCCTACAATTTTTTCCTCCCTGCACGCTTCAGTTTCACAAATTTCTATAATCAGAAGGGACCTGAGTAATCTGCTCCCACACGTCACAGGTATCCTGGTGCTTTCTCTCTCACAGGTGTATGGGCTTTGTTGTACATCACAGGCACATTCCTAAAAATGTGCGCAGAAATCAGATCTTTAAAAATTGATTTGATTTAAAACAAAACAAGGACAAAAGCTTTTGTGGAGAGACCACATTCTGACTTTTCAGAAAATAAAAACTAATCCCCTAATCCAGAAACAGTCTCGGTAGCGTAGGTACACTGCTCAGTGGTGTGGTCCCTAGCCGTGGCAGTGGTGTCTTGTGCTGGGGATTATGTGACCCAGCAAAGGAAGCAACAGCAGAATCTACTTATTTAGTAGCAACTCAGGGACTCTTATCGCAGGTGTGCTCCACAGCTCTCCCTCGTGTGTCTAGGTCTGGCGGGGAGAAGAAACTCCCCTTCCCTTAGGGGACTTTGCCCTTCCTTTGCTTGCTTTCACCCTCTCCTGTCTGTTTGTATTAGCCAGTAGTGCTTTCCACCACCCTGAAAGTGCAGTTTTCCCTACAGAGAGCTTTGTCCTGTCATAATCCACCCTGGGACCAGTGATGTGCCCTTAGCGAGCCAGACTGTGTCTCTCCATCCCACTTCTGGGGTCAGGAAAAACCCAGGCTCGGATGTGACACCTGCGGTTGCACTTTTCCAGGAGAGTTGATCTTAAAAAAGAAGCGGGATATTTATGGTGATGTCACAGCAGCTGGGGCCTTGCGGAAACTGGAAAATGGCTGTGTTTGGGAGGTGGAGCCCACACCCGTGATTTGCAGCACAGCGACAGCCCACACTGTCACTCAGAACAGTGTTGCTTCTGCAGTTTTCCCAGAAATCTTAGTGACTTGATAGCATGAAGTGTGAATAAAGTACAACAGAAAGCAGTCAAATAAAAACAATACATTTTTAGGGAGGTTCTCAATTTATGTAAAGTAAATACGCTGAATGAAAGAGGTTGTTTCTGTTTCTGTCTGCTCTTTGAAGAAAGGCAACAAAATGAAGGAACAGAGAGAAATCATGGCCTTTTCTTTTTTACATGTGCACTTTTATGTGCAAAAGAAATATACTTCTATTAAGTATTCAAACAATACAAAAGCTTATTAAGTAAAAATTAACCCCCTTCGCTCCTTTCTCAACCTTATTCCCACTCTCCCAGGTAAGCACTTGTAAAAGTTTGGGGTAGATCCTCCTAGAAAGTTTTCTATGTATTTACTCACATATATGCACATAATACATGTGTGTGTATGCGTGTGTTGTGCAACCTCTCTCACACACAAACACGGCATTAGAAAATCGTCCTTACAAGTACCTGTCTCATCCACAGGAATGACAGAGATGTGCATCCCGTATACGATGTGCTATAAATTATTGAGCAGCAATGGATAATTGTAAGGGCTTTAGTTTTTCAGTATCAAAGCACTGTTGTGCATGTATCTCTATGTACACATGCCATTATTTCTGTGGTAAAGCCATTAAGGGCATTCACTAGGTCATTAGGTAGATGTTTACAGTTTGGAAGATAATACTCAGTTACCTTCCTGAAGAGCACTCAGTTACTGAGCCATAGTTTAGGATCATCGTGCCGCTCACCCACCAGAATCTGGGGCAGAGGAGTGGTTGAGGATAAACAATAATGCCGTTTCATTGGTTTCTGAGATGTTGAATATCTTTATTTATATTTATTGACCATTTGTTTTTATTCTTTGGCCAATTCAAAACTTTTGACCAATTTTGAAGTACTGGGGATTGAACTCAGAGCCCCATACATGCTAGGGAAGCGCTCTATTACAAAGCCACATCTCCAGCCCATTTATAAATTTTTTTTGAGACTGGGTCTCATTGAGCTGCCCTGGCTGACCTCGAACTCAAGATCTACCTACATCAGCCTCCCAAGTAGCTGGGATTATAAGGACCCACCACCCCGCTTGCCTTGCATTGTCTTTTCGATATGGATTAATAAAATCTCCTTGACTACATGTGGCATGATATTTTTCTCCAATCTGCTTTTAACTTTTTAAGGGACCTTTTGTTTAAATTTTTACATACTGAAATTATTTTTTATTTCATTGTTTTGTGTCTTATAGAGAAAGGCCAAGATTGTAAAACTATAATTTCAGCTTCTACATATGCTTTTTTTTTTTTTTTTTTTTTTTTTTTTTTTTTTTTTTTTTTTTTTTACACTTAGAAATTTTATTCATTGGGCATTACATTTTGTATATGATTCAAGAGAGTAAACTAGCTGGGCATGGTAGCATAGCCTATAATGCCAGTACTCTGAAGGCTTAGGTAAAGAACCCCAAATGAGGTTCTTTGAGGCCAACCAGGGCTACATAGTGAGTTCAAGACCAGCCTGGACTACATAGAGAAATTCTATCTCAAAAAACTTTAAAAAGTGCTGGGAGTGGTGGCACACACCTGTAATCCTTGCACTCTGAAAGCTGAGGCAAGAGACTCACAAGTTCCAGAGGTGGGAAGTTTAGCAACTTATCAAGACCTGTCTCATAATATTAAAATAAAGAAAAGGCCTGGGGGTGTAGCTCAATGCAGAGGATGTGGGTTCAACCCCAACACCATAATAATTAGTTGATTAATTATTTTAAATTTTTTAAAAAGAGTAAACTAACTTTACCTTTTCTGGGTCAGTAGTTGATTGTCTTAATGCCACTTATTTCCTCTTGAATATGATTTTTTTTTCTCATATATATACCCAAGTCAATTTCTGGATTCACTATGTTCTAATGAGCTGTGTCACATGGTTTGGAGTAAATTTGTAGTATGTTTTTATAACTGATGGGATTCTTTCTCCTTCAAAATTCTGTTGTCTATTTCTCTGTATTAGTCATTTAGAGCAATTTAGAATATGCTTGTTGTGTTTCGTGAAACAATCTGTTGATATTTTCATTGTTTAAGTAAACATGAATAGATGCAAGTAGATAAGCTTTTGGAGGATAACAGCTGATATCAAGGGTAAACTTTAAAAGATTTCCTCAAAAATATTGATTAACTTTCTCTAAAATGTCTTTCCAGATAAGGAAAAATTAAATATTCATATCACCAAAATAAATATGCCTTGCAGATAGTCTTTAAATCTTGGCAGTAAAGCAGATGTCTACTGCTATTTTTTCCATTGATTTATATGACATCATTAGAGTTGCATTCCAGCAGGGAAACATTTTTGGCTTTGGAAACAAAACAAAAAAAAACCATGGTTCTGATCTTCAAGTTGTTTTCCGTATTTCTTTTAATAGGAAAAAGATTTGGTAAGCATTACTGTTTTTAATCAAAATAAGGCCAAAATATGGTAATGTCTTACATTTAGAAAATCCATTACATGTGAAAGATGGTACTCTTAGCCCGATCCGTCCTTGAAAGTTATCAACACCTTCTGAATCATTATCTTGGCCTCTAAATACAACCTAGATACACTGCAGCTCTCCTGTCTTCTAATTAGCGCTAGATTTTATCTGCTACACCAAGTAAGCTTTGCTTCCAAACCTGAATCTCTGAGCTCCCTGTAAGTCGAGGTGGTTCATAAATGGCTTGAGACAGCTCTGCTTTCTACACTAAGGCACCTCTTTATCCACACAGCCATAGATCCGTGAGCTCTGGAAGGTTCATGCCTATATATACCTTCCTTTGTTTCTGTGTCTTTGGAAAAATACACAAAATATCACTTGCCTCTTGGGAGGGGAACTGAACTGGTGGCTGGGGGAGACTCATTCTTAGGAACCTTCTGAATTTTTCGATATAAGAATGTTTTACCTAGTCAGAAACAAGCATATAAAAGAAAAACTGAAGGATCCATTTCCCAACTCCTCATTTTAATAAGTGAGGAGTCCATCGTGGTACCTTGTCTTCAATAATATATCGGCACTAATATTCGTCATGACAGTACCACTTTCTTGTGACCCAAGAGGACACTCCTGGTACTTCCATCGTGGAATGCATTCTGCGGCACGTTTGATCTGCCTGGATGAGCAATGGTGGTGATCTGTTCTTTCCAAAAATTGTCCAGGCTCCTTCCTATAATTCTCCAAGTCCCAGTATTCCAGCTCCCTGGAATTGCGGTGCATGAGCGGTCCTTACCATAGGGGCAGGGATAAGTATACCCCACAAGAATTCATCCTGAAGCCTGTTAGGGTACCAAGAGCACTCAGTGCTCGGTCCCTCAGAGCACTTGCTACTTGTCTGGACATATCTTGCATTTTCTCCCGAGCTGCCCAGTCAGCCGTTGGTTCAAAACCCAAGTCCACTTGAACAGAAGACTCTGTAGACTAATTAGACAGGATCATCGTAGTCAGTAGAGACCACCGTGACAGACAAAAGCACCTCCACAGTGAATGGGATTTCTATAATGTAAAACGATTCACTAAGTTGTAAAGACAAATTGCATGGAAGATTAAATTTTAGTTACTAAACTTAAATGATTAGAGCTGAGTGGTAAGTTTAAGAGTAATCTACTGGATACTTTTTGTTTTCTGAATTTTTTAGATGTTAACATGTATCAGATTTTTAATCAGGACAGATTATTACTTTTTAAAAATGAACTTTTAATTTTGTAAACAACATTTCTACAGCATGTAAAATACTTTCATATGTGTAATTTTATTATCTTATAAATTATTTGCTTATAATACTAAGATATGTCAGTCACAAAAATCACTGAATTGAAGTTCTGAGAGTGAAGATGAGTCTAAGAGATCACTGGCATCGTGTCAGGTGGGAAAATTGGGATATTTGATTAACTGGATATGTAGCAGTAGTGTATTTAACGTTCAGATGCCGAGAAAAAAGATTTTTAAAATAACATAAAAAACTCATTAATTCCACCACCTGCCTTGCAAGCTCCAGGACCCAAGTTGGATCCCCAGTACCAAAAACAAAAAACAACAACAAAAAAAACATGAATAGTTTATAATAGCATCTCTCTACTTTTAAATATTCTTAACGTAATATTGTTACACACATGCACTTTTTTATTTTATTTATTTATTTTTTGGTCTTTTGAGACAGGGTCTCACTATGTAGTTGAGACTGACCTGGAACTCACTATGTAGCCTAGGCTGGTCTTGAACTCACAGCGATCCTCCTGCCTCAGCCTCCCAAGTGCTGGGATTACAGGCGTGCACCACCACACCTGGCACACATACACTTTTTGAAAGAAATTATCTCATTCTGTACCTTCTTGAGGTAGCACCTTCCTATGTGAATGTACAAATAAGGTAAATCACCTTTCAGCTGCTAGATAAACTTAGCTAATCAGATTGTGACATCATAACTACACCTGGGGCAGTAAAAAAATTCAATGAGGGACCCTCCACAGAAATCACTGTCTCTGCTTGTACACAGATATCTGCAAAATGCTTGCTCATCTACTGGAGTTGCAGGCCTGGCTCCCTTGGAAGTAAGAGCCCCGCCAGCACCAGGTCTGACCTCTCACGTAGAACAGTGAGCTGTGGTTTAGGAAAGCCTCCTCATCTGATTAAAGCAAGGGTGTGTGCCAGGTCACAAGAGTGAAACTCTTCTAAAGGAAGGAGGAGTGAGGGCTGTGATGTAGCTCCATGGTAAAGCGTGCCTCACATGGTCAAGGGCCTGGGTTTGATACCCAGGACTGGAAAATAAAACAAAAGAAGTGGATTATTCAGGCTTTCCGCATGTATCAAATGGGGAAATAATATTTGTGAGTAATAAGGTTTTTATATTATCTTGATGAGTAAGTTTTTTTAAACTAAATTGTGGAGGAACCATCATTAGAGGAATAATTACCCTTTTTCTGAATTCCATGATTTGAGAATAGCTTCTCCCTTATTAATTCCCTCTCTTCAGTAAGAAAATAATAAAAAATATATATAGCTTCAAATTTGAGTCAGGAAAGTTCTGAACAGAGGGTCAATTTAAAGCTCAAGTGTCTAGAATGTGGTGAATCTGTGTATTGCTCCATTGGCTTGAACCCTAAAGCCCAAACTGCCATCCCATCAGATAGACGAAATTCTCAGGATGTAAAGCTGAACTTACATTTTTAAATGAATGCATACCACTGAGCAGTAACAAATTTAAGAATAATTTGCATTTTCGGTGGTTCTAACCGTAACATTTTAGAGCCAAATTTGAAGATAAGATACTTGATTAAACAGGCAATAGATATCAGGGCAGTCACTTCAGATAGTCCCAGCATACTATGAAGAAAATACAACAGCATGCTGATGGAGAGGCAAGGGTTAGGATAGATTAAATGGCTAGGAAATGAGTCTCTTAAGGAAACCAGAGGAAACCTATGATTAAAATGACAGGAGGAAGCTACCAGTCCACTGTTAGGGGAGAAGACAAACATTCCACCCCAAAGGAAATGAGCTGATACAGAGAGAAAGTGGGTACCCCATGATCTGAGGGCCCTGGTGACTGAACTAATGATGTTGTCTTTGTATCTCAAATGCAAAGCTGGACCCAAGTGGTGCACTCCTGTAATCCCAGCATTCATAGGCTGAGGCAGAAGGATTGCCTCAATGCCCAAGCTACATAATGAGTTCAAGGCCACTCTGAACTACACAGTGAGTCCCCGACTAAAAAAAAAGAAATAGGGGTGGGGGAAGAAAGGGGTGAGGGGGAAAGAGAGAGGAAGGAAGAGAAAGAAAGATTAAAAAAAGAAAGGAATGGAGGAAGGGAGGGAAAAAAGAAAGGAAGGACAGAAGAAAAAATAAAATGCAGAGCACGGAGATCATACATCTGCCCAAGGTTATGGTCAGGGTTGGAGTTAAGAATTTAACTCTAAGTGGACACATCCCTACATTGGCACAACTGACTGAAAAGTTTTGAAAAGTTTGGTATATCTTGCAGGAAGTCAGACATACAGAGATAGTATAAGAAGTCCCATGTATCATCAAGCAGCTTCTCTAGTTATTAGCTTATAACCAATTTTATTTTATCTCCTTGTTTGTATTCATTTTTTTAATGCTCGGATTCAGCACAGTCACATTTATTAAGATGCACCACATACAAGATGTTGCCTGTTGAGTCTGTAAAAATGAACAAGAAGGGTTCTCTCCTTGGCTTCTCCGTGCAGTAGCAGGTCCCTTCTACACAAAGACCAAACCGGCTGATTAATAACTGTTGCAAACCAAAGGCTATAGGAACACAGAAGCACCACTGCATTCTTGAGAGAAAAAGGGAGTCCGGGGACCTCACCAAGTGAGATTGTACAAAGTAGATATGGGAAGAAAGATAAGAGTGGAGGAAGAAGCGGCAGCACAGGAGCATTTTGGGAGCAATTGACTGGGGATAGTGATGGAGATACAGTTGATTTGTGAGTTGTGCCACATTCTGAAAAGCCTACTTCACCACTCCAAGAAATTTAAATGTTACCTTATAGAGAATGAGGAACAATACAATTCTTTTAACAAAGAACTGGAGTCATGGGGTTGATATTTCATAATAGTCATAGTCTGGATCATGGATTTGATGCAGAGATCCTGGGACAGGGAAATCAGTTGAGAGTCTTGGCTTATCGAGTGTACTGCTCAGCTTTTCCATTGTTGGAACAAAAATGCATGTTACCAGCAACTTAAAAGAGGAGAGGTTTAATTTGGTTCATGGTTTCACAGAGTTCAGTCCATGTTTGGCTGGCTGTAAGGCAGGGACATCATGGCAGAAGCACATGGTGCTGGAAGCGCTCACTTCATGGTGGCTCAGGAGGACGGCACCACAGAGAGATTTACCCTCCAAAGTCACGCCCCTAGTGACCACCTCCTGCAGCTGGGCCCTGTCTTACCATTCAGCTGTGAGCATCCATGGATTAATCCACAGATGAGTAGAGCATGCCCAGGATCAGATTACCGCTCCAAGAGTCTCTTACTCCAGTCACTCTGACAGCTGAGATTAACTGGCGCACTGGAGTAGGAGATTTGGTTACAGAAAACAGTGCGATGCTAAATAAAGTTGTGTAAATGTGGAATTATGGAAGAATGCCAAAGAGCTGGATGAGATAAGGCTTTATGAAGATGCCTTTTGATCTTGATAATGATAACAGTTGAGAAACAAAGGGAGGGAGTTGTAGTATTAGAGACAACATGTTCAAAATGCGAGAGTGTTCTAGAGTTTGCACAGAAAGCATGAAGCCCACTGGCTAGCTGGCAAGCAGACCATCAAAGTGGTGCCCACCAAAGATGGTGAGAGCTTTAATGACTTACAGATAGGCAGTTGAAGCAAGACATGGTGATGAAAGGGAGAAAGAGAGAAATAAATTGCAAATCTGATGTTTCTAGACTAAAACTATTTTAAAAGGTAGGCTGTCACACAAGCTAAAACGTACAGCAACCTTTATGTAGTGGAGAGCGTGTATGTTACCTGTGGAACACCTGGGTGAAATGGCCAGTGAGCAGTTTGCAGGTTGATTTGGAGTCAGCAGCTGGAACTGACGAGAGGCTAAAAGTAACGAAACAATGACTATTGTTTCGCTATTATATCTAAGAGCAGCTATCACCAGGTATCGTCCTTTATGAGTGAGAATGTGATGTTGATGCTAGTGATGTTTTGTCTTGATTGCTCTATAAATTGAGGGCTGTATAAGCGTCTTTGTATAAGGCCCATCTTTGTCTTCAACATAATATTTATAACAATATTTTGTTATGACAACGGCTTATAGAGTAACTCAGTTGGTGGGGCGTCTAGAGCTGCCTTTCCTTGAACATCACCTTACCCTACTTAGATTGCTGAATGCGGGGTACACAGACTCATAGTTTCTGTTTCTTATCCCAGGTTTCATCGTCCATAAAAGAGTGTGGGACTATTTGCAAGCACAGATTGATCATCTTTAGGGGAAAGAAGCTCTGCTTCCTGAAAAGCTGATATTGCACTGAGACCTGAATGTGTGTGATTCCGTTTACCTCGTGGTGAAGGAAGTGTGTGTCTCAGCTTTGCTCCAAGTACTCCTCACCTCTACAGCCCAGAGGGGGCCAATGAGCAAAGGGAAGGATGCAGCAACCTTGTTGCCCGGAACGTGAACTGATGGTAAGGGACGCTGTGGTTACGGCAGCTATTCATCAGGAGTTTTAATCAGAGAAGATGAGTAGAAGACAATCACCGGCTCCCTCCTACCATTGCTATTCATCAGGAGTTTTAATCAGAGAAGATGAGTAGAAGACAATCACCGGCTCCCTCCTACCAGAAAGCCAAAAGATTTAGTGCCTGTGGGTTAAAGAAAAATTGCTGGGCACAGGAAAGTGATGGCAGTTGAAAATCCGAGTGAGAGATATATTTCATTACGTTAATGAAGAAAGGAGAAGTTGAAGCATAAATGTATTTTTGAAGTAAGCATTTGGTAGCTGAGAACTTATTAAAGGGTTTGGGAATCTTAAATACCCAATGTGGGTTCCTTAAAGACTGAATTTTACACAAATATTCCTGTTTTACCATGAATTTGGTACAGTAAAGTACCATTATTTTATGTTGTGCTCGTGAATCCAGTTGCCAGAAACATCTGAATGTTTTCATGCATCTTTTTATTAAATGCAAGAGACTTCTACTGACTCTTACCAAGCATGCTTATCCGAATTTTGTTGTATGCTTTAAGTAGCACAGCTGTACACACTTGACATCTTTTATACCCCTTTCCTAGAGTGTCAGTTTTCCACAAAGACAGCAGCACTGGGCATAAAGTCAGATGCAGTGTGACCCTGTAAATCCGTCATAAGCTTTAGAAACAAATCTTTTTGTTTTTTCTTCGTCTATCTTGATTATCTCTAAAGTCAAGCAGCCATACTTAATCTAAAGAAGATAGTGTCGACAATCACGACACCCTTTTAAGAATGTAAAGTTAGCCGGGGATTTAGTTCAGCAGTTCAGTGGCCTGCCTCGCAAGCGCAAGGACCCGAGTTCAATCCCTGGTACCAAAAACAAAAAGAATGTAAAGTTAAAATTGAAGTAACTTACAAGTGTGTGCTGACTCCTATTAGTTCTGAGGGGGATGCAAAGGACCAGTCATTTTCAGCGCTGCATTAAAAAATATTGAGTTGCTGCTATTAAAACAGTAATACACATGCACCAGAAAATATATATCCCAAGGCTCCAAAGAACACACACACACATACACACACACACACACACACACACACACACACACACACACAAAATCTGCTAAGCTGTGTGTGGGAGAAAGCTCATTTTTTAATATTAAGAGTCTGCAGATTGCACCCATAAATACAGTACTTATTTTCAATGCCAGAGATCAGTGAGGCGAAAGTCAATTTCCCTATGATCCTATAAGTAGTATTGTTTATATCAAAAAAATCCCGGTATTGTAGTTCCCTTTCCCATGGACTGAATCCCAAGCTCATTTTGACCCCTTCTCCACCCCGTATCTGACTGTAAATACCACCTTGCATTTAATTGTTCTCAGTTGTTCTGTGCCCCTTTTGATTAAAAATATGTAACAAAAAGGCAAGACTTAAATAGAGTTTATTTTATTCTTAGAGCTCAGAGTAGAATTTCCTGAATTGCTTCCGGTTTGGAATGTGGAAGGCTGTAATTTTCAACCCAAAACTGAGCATTTCATCTGTTGGTTAAATTTAGATCCCTTTATTGGTAATTTTTAAAAAATCATTTCCTATTGGATGATTTTACTTCAAACTTTTTTTTTTTAATTTGCCACTCTTGGCCTATTATAAAAAGCCAGGACCATTTTATAAGAAAAGTAACCAGCATTATTGTACCTCTTGCTGCACTCAGCTATGGGCATTAATAAAATAAACCTGCTCTCTGTACTACTGTCTTTTTTCTATTTTGCTTTGAAATTTTTCTTTGCATGCCTAAGTGTCTGTCTCTGGCTGATGTTTTTTTCTGGTTTTTGTTTGTTTGTGGTGCTGCTAGGACCTGTTACGTTACCCCTGGGGCTACACCGAGACCCTGTTTTACAGTTTCTCATTTGAGCCATAAAAATGAACTTTGTTCCCCCTTTTTTTTTTCAAAATCATCCTTTTCTTTAGATATTTTAATGTCGTTTTAGTGTCTTGGGAGAAATACCAGGAATGTAATGTGTCTTTCTCTATGCTTGTACTTGTTGAACACTTTTTTAAAAACTTCTAATAACAGGTTTCGCTATGTAATTGTAAATATAAGACATTATTTCCACTTCAGTTAGGATGCTTGTCACAGAAAGTTTCTGTTAGGTTGGTGAAAGGAACAGCTTCTCCACTGTGGAACAATGGATGTAATTTTTAATTCCCTACAATAAGATTCACCCAGTACAAAAATGAAAATCGTACCTCAATATATTGTTTTCCTTGTATAATACATCAGATTTATGAACTACCCACACTTTTAATTCATATTGGTTGGTATGTTTTTCCTTAGAAGTTTTCAAAAACACTTCAACTATTACTAATCTAATCTTGAAGTCATTGGAACCACTAGTTATTTCATTAGAATGATCCCTTAAATAAAAGACTGTACAAAGAACTAAAGGATTATGAGTGAAGATGTATTTCACAGAATAAAGCTGTGTTCTCTTGGTTAATTTTAAGAGGCAAGAATCCTGCATCACTCCACCAGCAGCCCTGAAAGGGTGCATAGGTGCAGGCCGCCCTCCCTGCGACCCTGCCTCCACCTACATCCTCAATCTGACCAGTGTGCTTCTGTTCTGAGGAAAGGAAATGTGTTTGAGTACTGGCTTTCTCCTCCTCCTCCTCCTCCCCCTCC